AGGGTAGGGGTGGCATGAATAAGGATGGATAGACCCTCCAAGGGGATATGTCTGATGGCCCCTCCAGCCGAGATTTCCGTTGCTAAGGAGGTAGCAGGAACAGCCTGTTCTCTGGGCTCTCATCAGAACAACCATGCCCAGGCCCCTCCCTCTCTCCCTCCATCTCTCCTCCCTTCCTTCCAGACTGTTGCTAGGAAGCACCCCAAGATTTCTTGAGGATACGACCCCTAGGAACCAAGGTATCCAGATATTTTTCTGAAGAGGTTTTTTTCAAAGTCTGACAGCTAAAACTCCACACAGCATCCTCTACCCCTGCTCAAAAGCCTTACACATCTCTAGCAGTTCGGGGAAACAGGAGACAGCCACCATGGAACAAGCTCTGTGGCCTGGACCTCAGTAAATCCCCTCCTCTATCTCATCTTGACCTCCTGGACCCTAGGTCGGCAAGTGATGACATGTCCAGCATATACCTCTAGACTCTGCAGACAGAGCTGAACTTATTGGGGGTGCTCTGGAAAGACAGCAGAGGAAACTGAGGTACTACCAGCCAAGAGAACTCAAAGCTCAGATGTTTCTCCCTCCTAGGGGTTTCCCAATCAAAAAGAGTGGTGCAAATGGAGGAAAGAAAGTTGGAGAGCAGGCTGCGCAAGGTGGCTGACATCACCAATACTTTGGGAGGCTGAGGTGGGAGGATCTCTTCAGGTCAGGAGTTCAAGACCATCCTGGGTAGCATAGTGAGACCCCCATCTCAAAAAAAAAAAAAAAAAACCCACAAATGATCTGGGTGTTGTGGTGCGGACCGTCAGTCCTGGCTACTTGGGAGGCTGAGGCAGAAGATGAGAGATTGGCAAATTAGCAATTACCCTGGTAAGAGAAAGTAGCCACTTAATTCTCCTCTTTGTCCCATCAGGCGCTCTTGCTATAGGTCACAAAAGAGGGAGCCAGGGAAGGGATCAGGCCTGGCTGAGCCTTGCTTTTGGTAGCTGAAATGAGAAATGGAAAAAGAAGCTGACACCTTTTCCAGGCTGTCTTCCAGGGTTTCTCCTACTTTTATTCATTAATCTGACTTTTTTTTTTTTTAATGGAGTCTCGCTCTGTTGCCCAGGCTGGAGTGTAGTGGCGCAATCTTGGCTCACTGAAAGCTCACCTCCTGGGTTCACGCCATTCTCCTGCCTCAGTCTCCCGAGTAGCTGGGACTACAGGTGCCCACCACAACGCCCAGCTAATTTTTGTATTTTTAGTAGAGATGGGCTTTCACCGTGTTAGCCAGGATGGTCTTGATCCCCTGACCTTGTGATCTGCACACCTCGGCCTCCCAAAGTGCTAGAATTACAGGTGTGAGCCACCGCACCCAGCCTGACACTTTTTTTTTTTTAAAGCATTTAATATGTGCCAAGTATTAGATTCCCCAAATGCTCCCAGCTTCTGGTAGAGTCTTTGTCAACAGGAGAGAGGAGAGGAGGGGGAGCAGGGAAGTCTCCTTTACCATCAGAGTTTGGGGCTTACTTTTCTGCAGCTCTCCCCCTCCAGTTAAAGGAGGGGATAGGGCAGTATGATATGGAAGCCAAAAGTATGAAGCAGAGCACCTCTCAGGGCCTGGAGGGAGGGGCCATACAAAGGAAATGGCAGGGTGGCCTCCCTTCCCAGCCACTGTCCGGTCTGGGCCTCAGGATCACAGCACCTCTCTTCTCTGTGCTGGGAGTATGGAGGGGGAAGGCATCCTCCAGGGTGTTAGAGGGGAAGCTATTCCAAGAGTTGATTCAAATTCTGCCTTTCACTCCCCTGGGGCAGCGGGAAGACAGAGACAGGCAACTGCGGGGGATCCAGGGGTTGTCCCTGAGTCCCTGAGGTGCAGCCACCTTACAGGCCTCTTTCCCATCATCCCCTCCCCCAGATAGACGGAAAGCAGGGATTTTGATTTGGTGACTGGTATGAGGAGGAAACTGGTTTGGAGCCAGCTGTGTATAAGTGTGTGGGAGTGACTGACTTTCTTTTCCCATCCACCTGCTGCCCATAGTGGGGGGACCCAGGCAAGCTTCCAGAGGAAAATGTTCCACTTAAGGAAAAGGAATGACTCAGTTTCCCTATAGAGAGAAGGGAAGCTGACACCCTCTGTGCCTTGTATGCTTACCAACGATTTCGGTGTTTCTGGGTTTTTGGGTCTGGACTCTTGCCACTTTTCTTTATACTGTTTTCTAGCCTAGATAGATAAGGAATGTTCCCTTCCCCTTGGGTACCCAGAACCCTGTTCCTCGCCACCTCTTACCCCACTCTGGCCTAGCTGCTTTTCTGACACTTCTCCAGGGTTGCCATGTCACTCTGACTGGTTGACTTCCACCTGCCCCTCTTCTCTCTTTAGCCAAGGTAGCCAACAAGATGAAGAAAGAGGTTGGGGCTCGGGACTAGGAGGGCAGAGGTGGGAGCTCAGCCCCTGTCCCTGTTGAGAGGAAATGAACAGCAAAAGAAAGTGGGGTAAGTAGAACGGGACTTTGAGATGGGCTGGGGGGGCTATTTTTTTTTTTTTTTTTTAGACAGAATTTCGCTCTTGTTGCCCAGGTTGGAGTGCAATGGTGCAATCTCGGCTTACCACAACTTCTGCCTCCTGGGTTCAAGCAATTCTCCTACCTCCGCCTCCTGAGCAACTGGGATTACAGGCATGCGCCACCATGCCCGGCTAATTTTGTATTTTTAGTAGATACAGTTTCTCCATGTTGGTCAGGCTGGTCTTGAACTCCCAACCCCAGGTGATCTGCCTGCCTTGGCCTCCCTAAGTGCTGGGATTACAGGCGTGAGCTACTGCGCCTGGCTGGGGGGCTATTTATTCGTACACCCAAAGGAAATGTTAGCATCTCTCTTCACCCTTTGGAGGATTATCATGGAGTCCTGTGCTTGCAGTGAGCCAGAGAGCCCAAGGGGGTCCCTAGGAAGATATTGTGGTGTGGAAGGAAGAGGTGGTATAGGAAAGGTTGCCTCTGATGTTTACAGACTGGAGAGGCAGGGAGGTCAAAAGGGATAAATTAAAAATGGTCCTTGCCCAGAACTAAGGGAGCCCTTGTACATAGGAGTCCAGCCTTTGGGGAAACCTTGCCAAGCCTAGAGAAAGGGCTGCTGGTGGGAGGTGGGGAGACAGAGAAGGCAGATGGCCTGACTACAAAAGCCGCCTCCCTGTCACTGCGAAGTGGGGAGGAGGCACCTCCCTAGAAATCTGCCAGGCTCCCTGCCAGAGGGAATAGTTTGAGCTCAAAATATCACCATCCTCAGGGCCCAAATAGTTCCCAGTCCTGTGTGGACTGGACACACAGTTGACAGCTTCTCTCCAAGAGAAGCAGTTTGGGCTCTAAGGTATGTGACAGGGGCTCCAGGATGATCCAGGAATGGCTCCAGGTGGAGGGCCTTAGGATGCGGCAACAAGCACAGAATGACAGCAGGGGAACAGGCAAACGTAGAGTGAGGGGCCTGGGAGAAGAGGGGAAGTCAGATACATGAGAAACTGAGGAGAAGCAGGGTTTGTGGCAGTCTCAAGTGTGAGTGGAGTGGCCGGGGGCCATATGGAAGGTGAGGTGAGGAATCCATATTCTCTCTCCTTCCTGCTTTAGAAGCTTTGGCAACATATATTTGGCAGCTGTTTTGTATACACACTATTCTCCAGTGGTGTCCCTTGGGCAGGCACAAAGGGAGCCTAAGGGAGGGGTGTGGATTGAATGTATGGGGAGGAAGAAAGGCCATAGGCAGTACCAACCGCAGAGGGACATGATCTGACCCTCCTTCAGCCACACTCTCCCCTTTGGAACAGAAGTCCTTGACTCCCTGTCTAGACCGTGCTCCAGACACCCAGGGTGCTGTAATTCTCTGCCCAAATGGCCAGTTTTACTTCCAGAGCCTTAAATGGGCTGCTCTTCCAGATTTATCCCCCCAAGGACTGATTTTGCCACTCAAAGGGTGAGCAAAGAATGGTTGTCGAAGGCTGGGCACGGTGGCTCACGCCTATAATCCCAGCACTCTGGAAGGCTGAAGTGGGTGGATCACCTGAGGTCAGGATTTTGAGACCAGCCTGACCAACATGGTGAAACCCCATCTCTACGAAAAATACAAAAATTAGCCTGACGTGGTGGTGCACACCTGTAATTCCAGCTATTTGGGAGGCTGAGGCAGAAGAATCGCTTGAACCTGGGAGGCAGAGGTTGCGGTGAGCTGAGATTGCAGTGAGCCAAAAAAAAAAAAAAAAAAAAGGAAAAAAAAAAGAATCGTTTTTGGGGAATACGGATTGAGCTTGAACTTGTGAACTAGGATATTGGGCCCTGGCTAAAGGCCTCCATGTTTATTTATTTATTTTTTTGGTAGAGCTGAGAGTCTCATTATGTTGCCCAGGCTGGATTTGAACTCCTGAGCTCAAGTGATCCTCCTGCCTCAGCCTCACGAGTAATTTACTCTTATTCCTGGTTGTAAATGTTAGGGATGACCAGTCCATAGTATGGGGAGGGATGAGGGCTATGCATAAGAAGGCTCAGACATTGGAGCCAGAGGTGGGTAACATTTGCTTTTGGCTTTCTCACTAGGGGAAGGAAAGGCTATGGCCAAGGCCCTGGGCATAATAATTGGATATTATTATTTATGGATCTTTGGGATAAGCAAGATTTAAACAACAACAACAACAACAAGAAACTTAAAAAAATAGTTTTTAATTTACAGGAAAAAAATGGAAGGTAATAGAGGGTCCCCACATATTCTGCACCCAATTTCTCTTTTAATTAACATCTTAGCATTAGTATGATGCATTTGTAACAACTAATGAACTAATACTGATACATTATTATTAATTAAAGTCCATGCTTTATTTAGATTTCCTTAGTTTTTACCCAGTATTCTTTTTCTCTTCCATGATCGCATTCAGAAAACCACATTACATTTAGTCATCAGGTCTCCTTAGCCCTCTTAGCTGTGACAGTTTCTCAGAATTCCTTTGATTTTGATCACCTTCACCTTAGTTTCTTCTTTACTTTCCCTTGTATCCAAGCTGTTTGGAGGGCTTGGAGATGCTGATAGGACTGTCAGATTCGGGGGTGGTGATATGTGTGCAAGTAAGGCACCTTAGTGTCGCTTTTAGAATATAGGTGTGGAAATGAGAATAGCTCTGGTAGCCCCAAGAGCTTAGGAGAAAAGAAAGAGCCCAGGAAAAGAGAAAGGCCGTATTGCTGAACGCCACACCCTTGCCGCACCTATTAACTAGGGGCTAACGAAAGAAAGGGTGTCGGAATATGATGGAGAAGGCCGGTCGACAGTGACGTCGTGGGCGACGCCGGGTTGTGAGCGACTTTTCGAGCTTCCTCGAGTCCCTGAGTCTCTGTAGTGTCTCAGCTCCTGGATGTCCTCCCTTAAAGGAGAGGAACAATGCGCGCCGACTAGACCAGTCCCTTAGTTTCCTCGCCAGCGCAGACAAATACGGTTTCAGTCCAAAGAACTACCATTCCCAGAAGACAGCGGGACGTTCCTTGCTGCATCTCTATTGGTTGGCGTTTGTTACTCCCAGCCAATAGAAAGTGAACTTCTTGACAAGTGCCAAAATGGCGATGCCTACGACCTAGAAGTGGATTGTGCGGTAGGCTTAAATTTGGGGAGGTGGTGGATGAAAAGGAAATTGGGAGGTATAGTTACAGGGCTGGAGAAGGTGGAGGAAATGAGGGAGCAAATCTGGACTTGGAGTAGTGGTGACCGAAGGACGCATTTAGAGCTAAGGGCGTAATTAGGCAACGAGGACTGGCTTAACTCCTTGATGCCCTCTTTACTCTATTAGTCCCTTTGATATTTATTTATTTGAGAGACGAAGTTTTGTCCTTGTTGCCCAGGCTGGAGTGCAATGGCGCGATCTCGGCCCACCCCATCAACCTCCGCCTCCCGGGTTCAAGCGATTCTCCTGCTTCAGCCTCCCGAGTAGCTGGGATTACAGGCATGCGCCACCAAGCCCGGCTAATTTTGTATTTTTAGTAGAGACGGGGTTTCACCGTGTTAGCCAGGACGGTCTCGATCTCCTGACCTAGTGATTCGCCTGCCTTGGCCTCCCAAAGTGTTGGGATTACAGGCGTGAGCCACTGCGCTCGGCCGATACTTTCTTCTTAGTGCCCCAGTTTAAGGAAGGGCGGTTCAGGAGGAGAAAGCCTGACAGGATCTTACCTTATCTCTTTAGCTCTTTTTCTTTCAAATTCCTCTGCCTAGCTTAAATCTTACCGCATCTTCTCCTTTCTATTTAATTCTGCCTTCCCCGGTTCTCCTTCGAACATCGTGTCCTTTTCTTTAGCTCCACTTCTTTCACCTCAAAGTTGGCCGTCACAGCTGCCACCTGCTCAGAGTGAAATCATGAAGGTGGTCAACCTGAAGCAAGCCATTTTGCAAGCCTGGAAGGAGCGTTGGAGTGACTACCAGTGGGCAATCAACATGAAGAAATTCTTTCCTAAAGGAGCCACCTGGGACATTCTCAACCTGGCAGGTCTCAAGTGAACTGGGAAAGAAAGATGGGAGGGATAAACCCAGAGAAGTTGTAATCACTCAGTCGTGTTTTGTTATTCCTCTTGCAGATGCATTACTAGAGCAGGCCATGATTGGACCATCCCCCAATCCTCTCATCTTGTCCTACCTGAAGTATGCCATTAGTTCCCAGGTAAGCTCCCCCAAAACCCCCACCAAGAAGTGAGAGTTTTGGGGATAAAAAACTTGAAGTGCATTTGGACCCCAGTGATTCATGACTGTAATCCCAGCATTGTGGGAGGCTGAAGCAGGCAGATTGCTTGAGCCCAGGAGTTTGAGACCAGCCTGG